AATTGTAACAACAACAGAAAATGTTTTATCTTTTTCCAGGTGCACCTGAAAACTATAAACTTCCTAGCAGATGCTCAAAAACATTAAATAAGGCACAGCTCTATCATTACCAACATGGTATTTTAAAACCCTTTGGTATTTTTGGTATTTCTTCCAACTTTACAGCTTTACAGCGATATATGCTTACTGGAATTTGTATTTATATCAGATTATTTTATTTACAAGTTTCATGTTTGTGTTTATCCCGTTTTTGCCCCGTTGCATCTGAAAATTACTTTCAGAAACATTTTTTTTCCCCCAAAAAAGTGCGGCACCCCAAAAAATTGTGCCTGCCCCCTCACTTTGTGCGCTCTGGCGCCGACCCTGCCTGCTCATGTTACATATTTTATTTTTACGTGTTTTTACAGCATTGCTCATTATAACCAATCACACACCATTCTGTTGAGCTTAGGAATGCAGTAGCCAATCAGAGGCGTTCAGATTGATTCAGACTGAAACTCACAAATTCCCCAATCATAAGCAACAAAGTGCAAGATGTATGTATGATGTAAGAGATTAATTTATCATACAGTCAGGGATGGGCAGTATTTCTGATAAATGTATTTAAAATATGTATTTGAAATACAAAATACTGTTTAGTATCTTGTATTTAAATACCTTTGAAAAAAATCAAATGTATTTTGTATTTAAATACATTTAACCTTAGTATTTTTGTATTTTCAAAATACATAAAAAACTTTTTGCCAGTCAACATCTTTATTATGCAGTTGATTTCCTGTGTCAACTAGTTCAGACATACCACTTTCATGTGAGCTGCAGCTGTACGAGTCCATCTAGATTTGGGTGAGTGAATTTTCATGATTCCTGTAAGGAAATGAGGAATGATGCTGCCTTCATGTGCAGACATTTCCTACTTCCCAATTCTGAAGTTGTGATTACGAGCTTGTCACATTCAAGTGCTTTGCTGTCGGAAAGAATCATGGAGGACCCCAGGTTTCTTGGGGAAATTTTTTTTAAAGTCAAAATCTTTTGAAGATACTTAATTCAGAATCAGCTTTATTCAGAATCAGAATCAGCTTTATTCGCCAAGTGTGCGCAAACACACAAGGAATTTGTTGTGGTTTTTAAGAAGCTCTTGGTACATACATGCATCCATACATACATATATACATACATATCTGACATGAGTACAGAAACATTTAAAGGGGTCATATGATGCGATTTCAATTTTTCCTTTCTCTTTGGAGTGTTACAAGCTCTTGGTGCATAAAGAAGATCTGTAAAGTTGCAAAGACTAAAGTCTCAAATCCAAAGAGATATTCTTTATAAAAGTTAAGAGTCAGCCACGCCTACCTAAAATGGCTCATTCTAACACGCCCCCACATACCTATGTCGCTATGTGGGAAGATTTGCATAACGCCGCCCAAATGTTCACGCAAAGAAAGAAAGTTTACTCTCGCTGTAGTTTTGTTGTTGCCGCCGCCATGTCGTAAAGACGATGTGTGCTTCGTTGTGAAAGCAAAACTACTTTGTTTGGTCTTCCAAAAGAGGAC